GTCCTTCCACATTCCAAAAAGATGCTGGTAGATATACAGTATGTACACTTGTCTTCAAAATGGACCTAGTATGTGTATGTATGCATAAGAGATAGGGACTTTGGCTTGTAAACTTATCCAGGGTGGAGACTGAATGTGCAATATGTAAAGCACTTCATAAATTGGTAGCACTATAGAAATTCCTATTATAAATAATAATATCCATAGGAGAATTATTTATAATTTAGACCCTTATGTGTACCAGCAAAGTCTATGTCTTTACTCTGCTTTTTTTCTCAGAGAATAGGTGCAGGAACTCAACCACAGGAGCAGGAGCTACTGCCATCAGGCTAGCACAGTTGTATACATCCCCACTCCCTCCTCTGCTGTCATCGGGATGTGAAGGGCAGGGAGGGTTCTGTTCATGCCCCCGGGAGTGGTGTGCTGTCACTTGTAAACACAGAAGCCGGATTTCTGCATTTGCAAGTGACAGTAGTGAGCAGGAAACAGAGGGCCAATGCCAGAGGTGGGCGAAATCTGTTCCATCACAATCTGTCTAAAAAGAACCCTGTCTCTATTCATTGCTTTCTAACAACTGTGATGTGTTGATGGTTGTGACTTTCTGAACAGGTTGTAATTGGGCCCCATTATCTACAACCTGTATTCCTGTCTTTGTACATTGGACTTGTGCTTCACACTGCTCTCGCTGCTCATTGTCCCCTCTCTTGTGACAAACTTCCACACTTTATGAGTTGGAAAAGTGGGCCACCCTTTAGCTCAAAATGTGTAATCCAAAGACATGCTCCCTGTCACACCCCCAGTTATGCAACCAATAAAGAAAACAAAAAAGCAAAGAAAGTGATTGGCTAAACCCAAAAGTGCTTTTTTCATCACTATGTCTCCTTTCTACTGAATTTTTAAAACAAAAATATGATAATAAAAAGGTTTTTGTGAAGGCTTAGTGTATTCTTAAGCTGGTTATAAGTTAGTAGGGTTTTATTCAATATTTTTTGTTTAAAGAACATTTGTTCAATTGTATAATCTTTAATGGGGTCAAATCAACATTCGTTTTTGACTAATGAGAAAATTTGATGGAGCAGGAGGGGCATTTTTTTTTGCTGGACCAAATTTTATACGGTGTATGTGGTTATCATTTAGTAAAGTCCATTTGCTTTAAAATTGAATGTTAAAAGCCAACAAATTTTGTACTTGCGCTTGGGGATGGACTCGATGCAGGCTACAACCACATTAAGAATGTCCTGGAACATGCACACCTTGCTGCCCTCAGTAGACCGAGGAAATCCAAATATACTGAATGAGGAAAGAACAAACAGAGGGTGCACAGGCCTAGTGCATTACCATAAAAAATGTTTAATAAGAAATAAAGTAGGTGTTGTACTCACAAATGACAATAAAGTCAAGACACATCATAAAAGAACAGCTGGGTCAACATCGTGCTGAGTAACAGTCCACAATAGGGAGTGTAGACATCCAATAGGCTGAGGGCTCTGAGGAAGAGGCAAGTCCTCGAAACGCATCAACCTATTGGATTTCTACACTCCCTATTGCGGACTGTTACTCAGCGCGGTGTTGACCCAGCTGTTCTTTTATGACGTGCCTTGACTTTATTGTCGTTTGTGAGTACAACACCTATTTTATTTCTTATTAAACATTTTTTATGGTAATGCACTAGGCCTGTGCTCCCTCTGTTTGTTCTTTCCTCATTCAAACTTTTGTACTACCGGTACTTTCTAATTACATTTGTCACGCTGTTGAATGTACTGAGGATTTTTGAACACATTTTTGTATGACTTTCCGTATGAATATCTATTGTAATGTATGACCAGCTTAACACTTTTGGCATTAATTATTGCATTTATTATAGAGATATACACATCTGTTCAAAATGAGGGACAACTGAGGAGGAAAAAGGGACAGAGGAATTAGGTTTAAAAACAGGGACAGTTGTGAGGCATGTAAGGAGGCTGCCCTTGCAGCTAAAATTAGGTAAAGGTTCACTTTATTTTACTAGTTAGGGCTATGTCCTGTGATTGGAAGGGTGTTTTGTTGTGGAAGGCATGGGATGACATGGTTTCGGGTTCTAAAACAGTAGTTACAATGGTTGGTTGGAGTGATTCACCTTTGTTTTCCATTGGTCTATAACAGTGCTTCCCAAAGCGGGCGATTCTGCCCACTGGGGAGGCACTAAAACAATCCAAGGGGGTGGTAGCAGAGGATTGAGTATGTTTATCTTCTTTCATCTTTACCCTAGAAGGGGTAGATTTCCAGGGGTATGAGTAATTTAGGTGTCTCTCTCACAGTGGAATAAGGGCTAGTTTACTCTTGTGGCCAAGAAAGGGGAATATACGTTTTCCCCTCTCAAGTTGCAAAAGTAGCCAGATGGGGCTGTACACAATGCTTTGTTTCACAGCCACGCCAAAAATTATACCCCTGTGACATTCAGCAGACAATACCGCTGCTGTATGTGACCCATTCAAATGAATGGGGCCAAGCCAACAAACATCCTGGAACCATGTGCAATGCAGGCAGCACAGTGGAGCGGGCTTTTGAGGTTTAAAAAACGGGGTGAGTAGGCAACATATCACCTTATCACCAGGGTGGCGAGAGCTGTCACATGTGTAAACAAACCTAAGAATTGATTATTTTTTTAATACCCATTCACAGAATGCAACAGCAATGTATAGCAGAGCAGAGCAGGTCTTGGATGTGCCAACAGCATTTGTCTTGAGGGGCAGAATGTGGTCTGACCCCAGTCTGTGCCCAAATGGGAAGCTTCCAGCATGGATGGGGTGCCCCTACCCTTTCACTGTCCCTGACAGATGGGTGACCTGTCCCTTCACTACCCACATGCGAAATGCACTCCATGCCTGGAAGCCAGGGTCTTAAATAGACTCTGTCTGACCCAAGATGGCTTCCAGAGTCATGTGGAACAACAGCATCCAATTGGATAGCTACCCCAGTGACCCAGGAAACCATAGAGGAACCATGTTCCTGCTGATTTCCTCTCCCTCTGCAATGCTGCTGCAGTTGATCGCCACCTGCAGTGGAGAAAACAGACTGCACCTGCCTACAAACAGGCAGGGAGTTGAGAGGTGACCAAGGTGTATTGCTAAACTGCAGCAGAGAAAGGCTAGGTCACTGTGCTGTCTGTCAGAGCTGGAAAAAATCTGTGAATGGATGGACAGAAATGAAAGATGGAGAAAACAGCTCCCAAGTAATTATTTCAACGTGTATTTAGCGGTTTTCCTTTAAGATGCACACATTTTCATATGCACGTGTGTGAACTCACCCTCGTATCTAAGCAGTATAAAGAACAGGAGAAATAATACCGTGCAGCTGTCAATGTATGCAAAAATGAACAAGTGTTGGTTACTGTATCCAGCATAAGTAAAAGGCTAGCATTAAGGCAGAGGCTGAAACCTGACCCTGACATTTACCAGAAAGGGTGTTTAAGAGTACTTGAGAGCTGATGTGACTTCAGATCTGTTTTTAATCAGGTAATAAATCCCCCGTAGTATATACCCATTCTATGCCTGTTCTTTTAAAATCTGCAAGTACAGAAGTGTTGCCAGTACACACCATTGTATAGAGCATCATGTGGCCAGATATATGGTCTGTAGTGTTTTATATGCCAAAGGTATATTTTTTTGTATTATCCTTTTCAAAGTCTCAGTCATGTACAGAAACATTTCTGGAAAAGGGTTAATATGTATTCTGCCTATAAACCCCCTTTCCCTTGGGAGCATATAAATCTGCAAATACTTGGTTATCCCCAGGAGTTAAGACTGTAAAGTAAATGAATAATGTAGTAGTTACCTGGCTTCACGTTGTATGGCCCCAGGTGCCCGTGTGTGCGTGAGACCTTACAAAGTTCAGAGATAGATCCATGATTATAATTAGGACAGATTTTCACTCTAAACAGACACACAATTAAAGTGGAACTACACTACATCTGAGCACCACAAAACAAAAACTCTTTTTAATTAATTTTTAATATTCAAAGAAAACTCACCCTTCCATCCATGTCACCATGCTTTATTTTGCTGAGAAACCACTTAAAAAAAACACCCCCTAGCATTTCTGTGGCCATCTTGAGTAGGAGCAGATGATTCATATAGCATGTACTTTCTAGAATCCATCTGCCCTTAGCTCTGGCATGCAGACAGGAGGGTATGCTTAGCTGAAATAACCCCTCCTCCCCTCCTGAAGACTGCTGAGATATGTGGCATCATTTGCTTAGGCCTGGAGACCAGGAAGTAACTACAGAAACCTAAAGAACAAGTAAATACAACATATTTTCCTATGTATTTATTGATGCTAGCAACATAAGGATTAAATATAGTAAATGTTGACTGAGAGAGTGAAGTTCCACTTTAAGAAGTAGTCAGGGTCAGGTTTCATTCTGTTGCTGTGCTACTAAAAAGCATCCTGTGGCTTGTACGGTCTTTCTCTACCAGAAGCAAAGAGAAATACCCCAGACTTCTTGGTATTAGAATCATTTGAATTTATTCCCTTTCTCCCACGTGATCACACTGGCCCAGTGCTGTCCTATGGATTGACCCAGTGCTGTCCTATGGAGCTGGAGAGAGAGTCCTTAACCCTGTGTAAGCGTTGACTAGGATATGACTAGCGTATTTATAGCTTCTTCTTGCAGCAAGAAAAGTGGCAGGGAAGTCCACTGAAGGTGAATTTTGGAAGGTGGGGGAGCTGGCTTTACGATGCATCTGATATTTTGCCCTGCATAGGCAAAGAACAATTTCTCTTTAAAAAATAGTCATGGGCATGTTTAAGGCTCTATTCACAGTACTGCGATTTCAGATGTGACTTGAGTTGCACAGAATCACATGGCAATGGAAATCACATTTATTTCAATGGCGCCTGGTCACATCAATGCAAATCAGCAAGGCACAATTTTGGCGACCACCAATCTCAGACAAATTCATTGGATTGCCAGACAGAAAAGCGTGATTCGACACTCCAGAGAACACGTCTCCACTGCTCTAGAGCCCAGTGGCAGTGTACTTTACGCCGCTGCTTCTGACACTTTGCATTGCACTTGGCCATGTAAGGCTTGGATGCAGCTCCTTGGCCATGGAAACCCATTCCATGAAGCTCTCTATGCACTGTTGTTGTGCTAATCTGAATTAAATACCAAGTTAAGTTTGGAAGTCTTTAGCTATTGACTCTGAAGACAGTTGGCGACTTCTGCGCACTGTACCCTTCAGCATGCGCTGACTTCACTGTATCATTTTACGTAGCCTACCACTTTGTGGCTGAATTTCCGTTGTTCCCAGTTGCTTCCACTTTGTTATAATACCACTAACAGTTGATCGTGGAATATTTAGTAGCAAGAAAATTTCATTGATGGACTTATTGCACAGGTGGCTACCTATCACGGTACCACACTTGAATTCACTGAGCTCCTTAGAGCGACCCATTCTTTGACAAATGTTTGTAGAAGCAGTCTGCATGTTTAAGTGCTTGATTTTATACACCTGTGGCCAGGGGCATAGATAAGGGGGGGCATCTGAACCCCCCAGAGGAGGGTTGCCAACCATCCCTTATAGCAGCCCTCAAAATTTCCATTCGCACGCTCACATTGGGAGAGTGGAAATAAGGTGGAGCGAGCAGTGCCGGGACTAGGAGTGTGTGGGAAGGGCAGCTGTGGGGGCAGTGACAAGCAGCTATCTCCTGAATGGCTTGCAATGAAGCAGCTGGTATCCGCAGAAGAGAGAGAAGGAGAGGGGACTTCCAGCTGTTTCATTGAAAGTCATACAGGAGATCACTGCTTGTCACTGCCCCCCCACCACTGCACAGATCATCCCTGAACGTTCCTTTTTCTTTCTGGCCCCTCCCACTGTGTGCTTCTCAGTGCCCAGCCTCTCCCTCCATTCTCTACACCAATAGGAGAAGAGGGGAGAGAGGCTGGATCTGCTCTGCCTCCCCCTGTGCCAGCCCACACTCCAGACTGTGCAGCTACAGAGAATGTGTGGACAAGAAATTGAACGCAGAGCAGCCGACAGCTCTGATGGCTCTTACTGAGCATGTGAGTCCGACCCACCTCTTTCCTTCCTTTCCTGCCTCACCCCACCCTCACTCCTTCCTTCCTTCCCATCCACCTCTCCCTTCTTTTCTTCCCCCCCTTCTTCCTTCCTTCCTTCCTTCCTTCCTTCCTTCCTTCCTTCCTTCCTTCTTTCCTTCCACCCCTCACTTCATTTCTTCCTGCCACCCTCCCTTTCTTCCACCCTTCCTTCCTTCCTTCCTTTCCTTCCACCCTCTTTCCACCTCTCTCTTCCACCTCCTCTTCCTTCCTTCCTTCCACCCCCCCTCCCTTCCTTCCTTCCACTCCCCCTCCCTTCCTTCCTACCACCCCTTCCTTCCTTCCTTCCTTCCACCCCTCCCTTCCATCCACCCTTCCTTCCTCTCCACCCTTTCCTTTCTACCTTCCACCCCTCCCTGCCTTTCTTCCATCCCCTCTTTCCTTCCACCCCTCACTTCCTTCTATCCACCCCTCCTTCCTTCCACCCCTCCCTTCCACCTCTCCCTTCTTCCTTTCACCCACCCTTCCCTTCCTTCAGTCCTTCCTTCCTTCCCCCTTCCTCCTCCCTTCCTTCCTTCCACCCTCCCCCTCTTCCTTCCTTCCACCCCTCCACCTACCCCTCCCTCCTTCCCACCTCCCTGCCTTCCACCCCTCCCTCCCTTTCACTTCCCTTCCTTCCTTCCTTCCTTCCACCCCTCACTTCCTTTCTCCCTTCCTTCCTTCCTTCCTCCTCTTCCCCTGCCTTCCACCTTCCTTCCACCCCTCCCTCCCTGCCTTCCTTCCTTCCACCCCTCCCTCCCTCCCTTCCTTCCACCCCTCCCTTCCTTCCACCCCTCCCTCCCTCTCTCCCACCTTTCCTTTTTGCTTTTATCATACTATTCCTTACCAGCTGACCGTATACCCCATGCCCTTCCCTGACCATACCTCTCCAGTGACCTTGATTCCCACCTGTTTTCCTCTTCTCCCCCCCTTTCTTCATGCTAACACAAATCTCCTCCTCCCCTTTTTTTTATCCCTGTACAGACCAGGATCTCCTATTTTCACTCATTTTTTATCTACCCATCCCCCCATCTCCTAGCCACAACCCCCTCTTTTTCCCCTTGTGTCCATGGTTCCCAGTCTCACCCCACCCACAAATTTTATGAAATGGTTAAGGAGGCGGACAATTGTGTGATCATGCAACACTTTACCCATATGAGATTTCTATCCTTTTTTTCACACATATAGAGGTTTCTTTGGTGGTATTTAATCACTACCATTTTATTTTTTGCTACATTTAAAAAAATACAAAAAAACCCCCATGTTTTTGCTTTGTATCTGTTATAAAATTTTGCAAATAAGTAATCTCTTCATAAATTTAGGTCAAACTGTATTCTGCTACAGAAAATAACTCAAATCAGTGTATAAAGTTCACAAACTATGGTATATATCTGAAAACCAATCATTCCTGACAGCCGATCTCATTTCTTAAGGTCTGAAAACACTAGGACAGTAAAAATCCCCCCCAAATGCCAGGACAGTACAAAGCCCCCCAAATGTCAGGACAGTACAAATCCCCCCCAAATGTCAGGACAGTACAAATACCCCCAAATGTCACAAGACAACATCCCCCCTCAAATGTTAAGACTGTACAAATACCCCCTAAATGTCAGGACAGTACAAACTCCCCAAATCTCAGGACAGTACAAATACCCCCCAATTGTCAGGACAGTACAAATACCCCCAAATGTCTGGACAGTACAAATCCCCCCAAATGTCAGGACAGTACAAATACCCCCAAATGCCACAACAAGACAACCCCCAGTCAAATGCTAAGACAGTATAAATACCCCCTAAATGTCAGGACAGTGCAAACCCCCCAAATGTCAGGACAGTACAAATACCCCCTAAATGTCAGGACAGTACAAACCCCCCAAAATCTTAGGACAGTACAAATACCCCCCAATTGTCAGGACAGGACATATCCCCCCAAATGTCAGGACAGTACAAATACCCCCAAATGCCACAACAAGACAACCCCCGTCAAATGCTAAGACAGTATAAATACCCCCTAAATGTCAGGACAGTACAAACCCCCCAAATGTCAGGACAGTACAAATACCCCCTAAATGTCAGGACAGTACAAACCCCCCAGATCTCAGGACAGTACAAATACCCCCCAATTGTCAGGACAGGACACATTCCCCCAAATGTCAGGACAGGACACATTCCCCCAAATGTCAGGACATTACAAATCCCCCAAATGTCAGGACAGTACAAATACCCCCCCCCCCCCCCAATTGCCTTGTAATTTTTTGTTCACAAATGTTATGTACATACTGTCACCAGTGCAGTGCAGCATTAGTATATAACTGGTGTGCCAGTGATCAGGGATTCTGACCGGTGACAGCATGTAAAAACAAAACAAAAAAATGTAAATAATTTTTTTACTTTTTTTACAATTTTTTTTAACACACTGTGACCAGAGCAATATACTGTTACCATAATAACATTGTACTACTTTGGGGAAGTGATCAGGATTCTTTCTTTTTATACACATTATGATTGCTTATACCAGTGAATTTCACGGTTATAAGCAACCATTTTTACTGAATGAAATTGATTTGTTCAATGTTTACTATTGTGGCTAGTTGTGATTGGCACTGTCTGTACCATGTGATTGCTGTTAAGAATCACAGAGATCAAAATGATAGTACATAATGGATGGCATGAATGAATGCCATCCATTGTGTATAATTGTCATGGGATTTGATGTGATTGGTCACAGGGAGCACATGGTATCGGCAGTGGCCGCTACACCAATCAGTCATCCACTGTGTCTGGTATACAGAGTGGGTGAAAGATCTCACGGCAGCGTGGCCCTTTCCAGGAGGACATCATATGACATCCACCAGGAATCGTGAATGTCCCACCCGGTCATCATTTGGCTATAGGCTGAGCAGGAAGTGGTTAATGTTGCCTCTTCACCGCCTGTTTAACTCCAAAAACCTGCACCACAACCGCATGGTGAATGAGTTGCATTTGATGGGTGCTACTGCCTGCCCACTGAGTGCAACATGTGCAACAGCATTTATAGCTGTTGCCCCCGTCAGTTGCCTTTAGAGCTCAAGGGAGAGAAGTTGGTGGGGGAGCAGTAAAAATGCAGCTCAGCTGCAAGCTGACCCCCCCCCCCCCCCTCCCCCAGGAAAAGAAAAATATTTACAGCCCAGCCTGTGGCCATATCCAATGATTTGGAGGGGTGTCCCAATACTTTTGGCATTATAATGTATCTGTAATTATCAGTGTTGTGGGAACACGAGACAGCGTTTACAGCTACCATTTGCACATTTTTTATTATTCACAATAAGTATTTCTTGGGGTTTTTTGGCATTTAACTGGTAAACACAGGAGTTATTTATTCTCTATTTTTTTATACTAGAACAATGCTACTAGCAGAGGGAGGAATGTATTCAAGGAGCAATCCTATACATCTGTTTTATGATGTGTATCAATTTCTGTTTTTCAGTGCCTTGCAAATGTTCTACTTTTTCTCCAGTTTATCCAAGAGTGCTGCTTTTGTGTATATTCTCTTTGGAAAGCGCTCCTCTCTTAGTAACCATTGTCATTTGGTCAATAGGTGCTGGAAGTTCTCCCCAGTAGGATACACATAGCAATGGAAACAAAATTCAAGTTCTAATTTCACTCTATTATAGCTACTTTACCCTTAACTTGGGTATTTGTGCATATGCAGGTGCTTGTATGCAAATAGTTAAATACACGAATGGTCTAGCTGTCATTTATCTGATAGCAATAGATAGATGGATAGATAGATGGATGGATGGATGGATAGATAGATAGATAGATAGATAGATAGATAGATAGATAGATAGATAGATAGATAGATAGATAGATAGATAGATAGATAGATATACTGCTACCCTCTTGAGGTCTGCTGTTTTTCTGGATCCCTCTAAGCTTCGCACAGCCAGGCAACATGCAGTTTCCACTCTTGCATCCACAGTCATTGAACAGTTCATGAGCTTGGTTTTTGTTATTTTAATTAAAGGGTATAACTTGGATAAGGTAATAGGGATTATGAGATTCTCAACTTAACTGAATCAATGCATGTGGAAAATGTCATTCCTATTTACAGAAACAGATCCTGGACTGTTCTTTTCCTTGAAAGAGGTCAGTCATTACAGATCAGTAGCAACTGTCCCCTACGGGCTAGGGACTCTCATCCCCCTCTGAAAGTTAGCTTAGATTGTTGCAACTGCATGCAGAGATATCTCATCTGCCCTGTAGAACTGTTCCCAGCTCCACAGCCTACAGACACTACTAGCCCTCCTGTCTGCTCTGAAGATCTCCCAGGACAAGGATAAAGGTTTGAGCATATCACTGACTATTTAAAGCTTGCTACACTTGGCAGTCTCTCCCCTTTTGATTTCCTGG